TCTGTGTGGCTTCTAAACAGCAAAGAAAGGTACAGTAGAATACGCAGGTACAGATAGGCGGATGCGGGTAGAAAATACGGTACAATCTTGCCGATAATGAAAGAAAACTCCGTTAGAGTATTGCGGATAATGGTAAAAAACGCGGATAATTTACTTATTTTATCAAACTTTCGTAAATTCACCGTTATTTTATAAAACAAATTTCCCTCGGAAAAAGTATTTGTGACTGATTTTTTTATTCTTTCACCTTCATTAGTAGAGTTATTCCGTATTTTAAAGAATCATCTTTTAAAGCGGACACTCTCCATCGTCATCATCTTTCCTCATATAAATTGCCGGAAAATATTTTAACCCATAAAACCGTTGCGGGCAGCCGTTATACTCTATTTCAAGTTAACAATTTCTATAAGTTCATCGTAGTTTCTCATAGAACAGTTAGCCACCAACTTTTATTTTTCACCCACCCACTGTATTTTTATGATCGGACGTATTTTGCGGCAATCCGACAATTGCAGTACGCCATGCTATCTTGCAGGATAATGATTATAGCTATACATACGATGATATGCGACGTAACTATATAGCATGACTATTGACTGCCTAGCAAGAACAACATCAAATCTTCATGTAAAAAATATTACGAATAACTTTGTTATGTTCGTTATAGAATAATAATAGGCCGCACCCGATGGGAGCCTTCTGGGGGGTCGAAAAGTTGGGGGCCTTTAATCCTTATTTCTTGCCCTAACCCTGCAGCCTTTATATGTGCGTGTTACGCCACTGATTACAGATATACCATATATGCCTTACAGAAAAATTCGCCTTGACAATGCTTCTTCGTTTGTTTATTTCATTTTTATGTGCAATCATAGTCCCTTAAAGGTCAAGTTATTGCCTCTCGGGATTTTAAAGCGCTCGAAGAATCGAAATAGGTCTACTACCAGCCTTTACAAACTCAGCCCAGGCTGAAACTTGCCATGTAATTGAAAAATATTTCAGGCCCGGTTTGCCGAAAACTCATGCCTGGCTGAAAAGACATCATGTAATCAGTCCCTTACACTGAGATTTAAATAAATTACGAATGACCCACGTTTTTTATCATTCGCAAGAATCTCTCATTGGAACAGCAGTAATATTCAGTATTTGATTGACATGTTTACTTAAATGCGGCTAAAAATAATATTTCTAACTCCCTGGGAAAACCCTTCGCCTTGCTTATGTGAATTTTGATATAGGTATTTGGAACCATACAACCTCGCAAGCCAGGCTCCTTTACCTACGCTCCACGGCCCACGCTGCTGCTTGCAAGATTGGGAACCATATTGGTGTTCATATTAATATGTAATTGTAATTATTTCTCACCGTTGGTTTATGCGCATGGCTGTTTCCAGTAAATAAGGGAGGAAATTCATCTTCGGCAGAAACGAAGGTATCAGGTATTTTTGCGGGAATTAATGGCACAAAGTGACTTGGTTGGAAGGCAACGCCATGTGTGTTATTTAAGTTCAAATCCCTTGTGAACATGATGAAAATTGTTTCTTGCATGTGTGGTAGGCTTTGGTATTGCGTTCGAAACTCATGTTGTTGATGTTGTAATCATCGAGGTAATACCTTTCCATGAAGTACAGCTCTTAATGCTTCATGCACTGGTGGATAGACACAAAACAATGGTCTGTCTAAAACTGAAGACAATCCCAATATTTGGAGAAATGCGCTCCACTTTCCAGGCTTACTAGTTTTAATTGCTTCTTGACGTACGGTTTTCTCCTTGTTATTAACATTGTCATAATCACACGATAACGCTACGGCAAAAACACCAAGCTCACTGTAATGTGTCGGAGAGAAAGGTGATTTAAAATGAGGGTGATTGGCGTAGTAACATACATTTAAATATAGTTCTCCAGCAACAAGAAGCCTTAAAATATGGCAAAGTTCGTCACTGCCATATATAGCCATCAACGCAGCATTATACAAACAATTTCCATCTGACTTGGTATGTTTTGGCACAAGTGAAACCAGGAGATCTTCAGGCATCAGTAAAGTCGATATGGGGTCATTAGGAACCATTTCAATAAGTGAATATATACTGTTACCGCGTTGTGATGTCAACAGCAGCTGAAGCTTATTTTCATATTTTAGAACAATAGCTCTACATTTCACAACATCGTTTTCGATCATGGCTTTCTTTAGGCATGTTAGGCAAAGTTAATTACAATGGTTCAAATTTTATAAATACAACAGTCAAAATTGTATACTGCAATTAACGTGCAGGCAAAGTCAATTTAAGGTCTTTTTCAAAGGGCGGTTTTTCACTAGGCGAAATTTTGCGCGCGGAGCGGAAATTTTTGAATTTTTCATTAGCAAAATGCTAAAAACCCCATCGAATTTCTTTTCAAGAACTTCTCTTTTAGCTTGATCCCTTTTAAGATCGGAACAAAATTTCTCATACTCTTGTTCAACATCGAAATGCGCCTTCATGACTTTGTCAAGGTTTTGCATTATATTTTTTTCGTCACCATTCTGGTACCAATTTGTTGTTTGACAACTAATTCTTTAATTTTCTTCTTGAGTAGCTCAGTTCTTTTCATTATCCATGAAGACTCGACAACACAGAGAAGTTTTTGCATCATCCAACCTTGAAGGCTCTCGTCATGTTCAATTCGACCAACCATGTTGTTGTGAAACGTCAGTTTTTCTTTCAATAGTAGCCCTTCAGCTTCTGCTATATCTTCCTCGGTGTAAATGTCTAATTTTTTTTGGAAGCGGAAAAAGTAGCACAATCATCTTGGCTTACGAGCTTTTCAATGAGAGGTTTCTCAGTTATGGAGCCTTCTGGTGCTGGGTTCGGCAGAGTGTTAGTAAAGACCCCACGATTAATAACTTCCCGGGCTGTATTGTTGGCTTGAACTTGTGTGTTTCTTAATTTGATTGTTATTTCTTCTTCACCCAATTCTTTAACAACGTTGCAATCTTTCACAAGAGTCTTGGATTCTTGTTTAGGCTTCAAGGGGATACCAAACAGTAAAAAATCAAAATTTTGTCTCTGTGTGATAACGACACATTCGCGAACTGACAACAAAAACTATCAGTCTGGTGTACATTCTCTATAGCTGCAAATACCTTGTCACAAAAGCAATGTGTTCTCCATTGAATAATATCATGTTCTGAATATCTTTCTGATTATTAATAAAATATAAATATTAAATCATTTTGGTAAACGTCTACTGAATATACTACGCCCGCCAATTAGAGCTGTACAATCTGAACTTTCTGTTCTTGTCTTTTCCAAAGCAAAAACTAAACATAGATTTCTCAAAGCTCATGTACATTGAGAAAGGTTATTTTTATTTGCAGTTGTAGACAAATTTTAGCATGTTTTGATGGGTTCATGACTGGAAGTATCTTAAGATTTTCTATTTCAGAACCTTTGTCCTTCCCATAAATAAAAAGTAGTGAATTAGAGGAAAAAAACCCTACCCCTAAGTCAAGAAATTTGCAAGAAATGTAAAAATAAAATGCCATAAAATGAGGAAAATTTCGCAAAAGAGAAAACAATCAGTGTACTTAAAATAAAGCAGGAGTCAGAATCTTTGGTTTTTCAGCGCCACCCTATCCCAAACTGATAAGTATTGTCTACTGATAAGTTCCAAAAAAAAAATTTAAAGAGTCTAGTTGTCCGTACCTTACGTCCAACCCTACGTTTACGGTTAGGATTAAACTCGCTTTCGTGAGTTTCATCTCCTTCAGCCTCACCTTTTTCGAAGACTTCGTCCTGCATGACACAAAATAATTCTCATGAACAAAATAAAATGAAATTATATTTATGAAACAGCAGTAGCTTTGTCAAAGAAAATCTAGTATTGAGATTTAAAATAACTAATGCTATTAATATAAACTTTACCTTTGATAATGATCGGAGAATGGCAGGTTTAACGTCGACTGCCTCTCGGTCAAGAGAGGACGCCTTCCTCAGAAGACTCTTCCTCAGAAGATTCCTCACTTACAACCGATGCATACGTTTTTAATAAGTCCATAACTCTAAAATATTAAATACTCACGACTGAAACTTCTAATAACTTTGAAAAACGAGCTGGCGATATTTAAAAATTAAAAAAATATATGGATGAAACTCTTGTTCCCGCCCAAATAATTTCAGGAGCCTGCGATTTATTGGTTCCGTACTTCATCTTGCAAGGGAATGGTGGTTGTGTGAGTGGATAAATTTTTTAAATGTTTTGAGAGATTGTGAAAGGAAGGAATCTCTCAAAATATAAGGGATGGTATGTTATGAAATGTCTGTCTTAAGTTTTTATTAGAAAATTTACATTTTCGGGGTCCATATGCAGGTCCATATATATGCAGGTCCAGTCCCTAAGTCCAGAAAGAGGTCCAAATGAGGGGGTCCAGCTTTTGTACCCTCCCAACATGGTGACTGTTTCCACCTTTTTCAAAAGTTATGGTCTTCTCTTCCAACCCAGGTAGTGCCATATTCACCTTGTCTGCTGCAGTTGGAGGTGAAGTTGTATTTTTTTTCAATAAACACACAAATGTGTGTGACCAGGTGTTCCAGATTGGTACAGATATTTTTTGGCCAGTTGATGTGGTAATCATTCTCCTTTTTGGAGGAGGTGGCCGATTACCCCTTGAACTTGCAATGGGTGGCCTATACCCAAATAAGTGTGTGTGCTCTTCAGCAGCTGTTACCTTCAGCAATAGTGTAGGTGTACTTGTTTCACAATTGTTTGTGGTTGTTGAAAGAACTTCTTGTGAGACTGAGGGAGAATTTTCAAGTCGAGTGACGGCATTCAACAAATTTTGCGCGCACTGTCTCAACAAACCTTTAGGGTCTTCACTCATTTTTTGCTAATAAATTACATTTAAAAATGTCAGCCATGCAAGTTAATTAAAAACATTTTCCTCCCAGGACCCCAGTCTAATAAGTTTTCTAATTTTAAATTGATAATTGGTTTTTGTATTTTAGGTACAAATTTGCCCGAATTTCATGGTCTATAATTTCCACCACTCTTCGCAGCACAATCAAATACCACACGCGGATTCGGTCTCTCTTCCTTGCATACAGCATGGTGAGGTAAATACCAGAGTTTACCCGATTTCTTCATCTTCGAGAGATCATCATCAGAAACAGGCTTGGACGATCCTTCACTCTCGTAATTCTCCAAAACTTTCGTATACTTCACCCCGAATTCTGGATCTTTCTCAAACTTTCTCTTAAGAGACATCAACCTCCTCTCAGCCAATGGATGACTTTCTGGAAGATTAGGCGGTTCTTGACGAAATGGTAATTTTACTTGGTAGTGCCCATCTACAAGGATAGCAGATTCTTCTATGACAGCTTGCACTTTAACATCTTCGACGGAATAATAATCAACGCCACTTAATGTATGCGCACCTTCCTTATTCAAACTATTACTTAGCATTATATCACAGTCACATCTAATGAAATTGACATTACTTGGCGAAACTCTTGTACTCCCCATGGGTCTACACACCGTCCACCCAAGGGGTGTTCTTATCACCACAGGTTGACCTGGACCACCTCCCTTTCTTTCATATACATCTTCTATTATATCTGAACAATCACTTCCTATGAGGATAGTTACTTCACAATTATCCCCCTGTTCGTGTAAACTTACTCCCTCTAAATGTGGCCAATTCGCAATATCACTTTTCTTTGGAAAGTGTTTCTTAGAAACTGGAATTTTCGGAGTAGACAAAACATGGTCCAATTGGAATTGATTGGCTCCATCCATGCTTTCTACAGTCAGAGAAACTTCAGATCCCGACATAATTTCCGACCCAGAAACAGTATTCAAGGTATACTCTATAGGAACTGTCTCCAAACTAAGAGCTGAAATCAAACTGTCTTTACAAAAACTTGTATCTGAACCACTGTCCATAAATGCATGCGTGGATACCTCTTTACCGCTGACGATATTACGCACTTTAACGGGAACTATTTTGAAGCAAACTCTCGCCCCTTCGGACCCAATTGCTCCATTATTTGATTCTCTTTTTACTAAGGAATCTTGAATATTGATTTGTTCCTGCCCTGCGTTTAAAACTGAGCACTTTGCTCGCAAGGACCCTGTCCAGATTGGTCGGCCCCCTCCCACTGTCTTTCTCTGAATGGTGAAGTAGGGTATGGTGCGTTAATCCACACATCTCCTTTTTACAGAAAAAATCTTTTTTACTGCAAGAATCTCTAAAATGTCCGTCTCCCAAACATCTTATGCATAATTTCTTAGCTCGGACTACTTTAAGACGATCTTTAACAGTCGAATCTCTAAACTTATTTACATCGCCAAATGGGATGACACTCAAAACAATTTGCGCATCTAACAACCCTTTCCGTATTTTCTACATTAGGCTTCGATACTATATATTCTTTCCCTACAGCCAAAGTAGTTGCTTTCATTTGGGGGTTTGTTTGCTGCGGGTACCCAGATTTAAATTGCTGAATAATTCCAGGCTGCAACAATTTAAGTTCTTTCCCAAAGCGATTATTTGAACGTTCCCCAATTTTCCTTACAAAGTCTACGAAATCTGAGTAATCAACATAGCCTTTCTTCAAAATCAAATCTCCGGCCCGGTCAGCCACTTTCGTTGTTGCAACTCTTCAGGAAGCTTCTTCATTAAAGAAACTAAGGTTTCTTCGTTATCTAAACGCTTATAATAACCGTCCCCCATGCTGTTCAAAACCCTTCCCGTATCCTCTAGCTTTCTTGCAAAGCCCAAGATAGAATTAGGGTCTCCCTTCTTTACATGAGTGTCTTGTAACCTCTTCAAACAAGCGTCTGTAACCATATAGTTTAACCCAAAATTACGCTTTAAAATTTCCCACGCTTCGGAATATTTTTTGCCCAGGGACAAGGTCGCACAGCTTCGAACTGCCTCATATGCCCTCCCTGTGCATTGGCCCATTAAATGCAAAAAGCGCTGAGAATCATCCTTGACTTGCTTTTCTACAACTTCTTTGAAATTTGACTCAACGGCCGCAAAATCTAATGGATTCCCATCAAATTTCATACTTCTTCTTCTTTCCTGCAAGGATGGTCCCTGGCGAATGGCATCTGCAATTTCAACCCAACACGTTGGTCATATTCGGCAAATTTTCTCCCGGTAAAGAGGGCTCAGTTTTCCAGCGGTCTTCGCATAAAAAATTAAAAGCTTTTCGTTTTACGCTCTGCTCTCAATTTTGCGTAAGTTGTCCGCTGACAACATGAGCCCGCACGAGTGGGAGAAACTTAGCTAAGTTGGACCAGCGTGCAAGCATCCCTCGACTCGGCCCTTTGTACTTGCTTTGAGTTCGATTCAAACTTCGAACCCAATCCCACATTTTCAAGTTTGACTCCCGGTTTAAAATCTGACTGAGGAGCGAAAATTGATTTTGCAATCCGAACATTTCCTTCCGTTTTGCGTGTCAATTCCTGATACTCATGTTTCATTTCCGGCTTCGGTTGATCTAATTCCGGTGTAATGTTTACTTCCCGCTTCGGTTGATCTAATTCCAGATTAAGTAATGATTTAGAACTAGAATTGTCTGACCTTACTGTATCCTGATCAGAACCTTCTTCTAAACGTAAACCCAATTGTGCTCTTTCAATCCGAGAATTAACTTCCAGAAACTCAATCTGTCTCTTATATTCAGCTTCTTCTTCTTCAAACTGCCGTTTGCGTTGTGCTTGCTCCAATTCAAAACGTTGCTGCAGATCTTGTTTCACCTTTAACTCTGCCATACGCAACTTAGCTTCCTCCAGTTCACGCCTCGCCTTGAGTACACTATGTGAAGACCTACTGCCCTTTGTTCTCGACGAATGTGAGCGCTGTCGTCCAACAGCCGAACCAGAGCGCGTCTCTCTTACTTGCGCCAATCTTTGGTCCATAGCACATTTCAACTCCCGCTGCGCGACGTATACAGACTGAACTAACTTCTTCTTCTCCTCATCAACTTCTACTTCACAATACTTCTCATGAGCGTCGATAAATTTCCTAAACGCTTCTTCATATTTAGATGACTGATGCTAGAGAACTGGTGCTGGAACAGTTCATTAATCACTTCTTCGTCAGATGTTGCCGACAACACCTCTTGTAACGCCTTATACTTCTTTGTGAGTTCACCGAGAAATCCCGCTCTGCTTCTGTTTAAATATGTCACATCGTTTACAGATTCCTCGTCACCGGCCTCAGCCTCAGCGAGGGCCTTGTTCTCTAGCATCAGTCTTTGAATGTTGTACGCTCTCGTACGGATTTATCAAAGCTTCGTATGCGTCACGTTGAAATACTTTATTTAATGCCAGCGACCGACGTACGAACGAACGGACGGTCATATAGACGATTCACTATTACAAAATATAAATATCTATATTAATATATATACATATATATACAACTAAATGGAATACGAAATACAAATACAAATCAATAGTACTTACAAGACTATGATATCCAAAGACTTAAATGATTAAATTTCGCTTCAGCTTATGAACTGTGCTTCTTCTGTAATTTCACTACTTAAGACTTGTCCGTTATAGTTCAGTACACTTATATATTTTTTGTTATTTCGCATATTCTAATAAGAAACTAATTAAAATACTTTAGACAATAGACTAACTTCTAAACAATAGATTAACTTTAAATACTTAATGTTCATAAACAATGGACTAATCCAATTGGGAATGGTCTTAACAAACTCTATCTTGCAAACACTTTTGGGCACCACTATAAACTCCAGACATTGATGCAGTATAGTCGTATGACTGGAAGGCTAAACCTTCTGTTTGAAACTCTGGACTCCAGTGATTTCAATATTTCTTTTGCTTGTCCATCTCCTGTTTTATCAATCGCTTCTTTCATCTCTAGAACCCTTTCTTTTGGCATGTTTTCTTCATCGACATATCTCACAGCAACAACAAGTCTGTCTGTATTGGCAGTGTCAGGATCTGCCATAACAGCATACATCTTCACTGATTCCAGATCAGCTACAATGCTAGCTTTAACATCTTTGGCCAAAAAGTTATAAACTCATTTTGTGAATGCGGCGACAAGTACTTTACTTCGTATGGCTTCAAGTTCTTATCGCTGAGCCAAGACTTCAATTGGGTGTTATGTCTGGCGACAAGATTTACGATCTGGACAAAGTTGCCATTTGATTCGTCTTGACCTCGGAAAGCAAGCTGCTGTCTGGCAAGGACTCTAGTGATGTCCAACAAGATTTTAATCACTTGTTGATTGCGCAAATTGTTCTCTTCTTTCTGAATTTTCACTGCTCGTAAGTTCTTATTTAGCATCACATCAACATGTGCCATATTATTGGCGAAATAAGCAAGTTCTTGTAGTGCAGCTTTGTGTGATACAGAACAAAAATGCTGTACCAATTTCCCTTTGTCGTCTTTGCCACAACTTTTCATTTTGTTCCAAAATTTGATACCTTTGACCCATGCTTCAAGTTTCTCTTCCAAGTCCAGATGGAAACAATGAGCAAAAAAACAGGAAACAGTGTCAGACAATACTCTAGATGGGGAAATTCTTTGTACCAAGAGGGCGAAAATCGTCTCTGCTTGTTAGGTTGAATGTCAGGATTCTCATGATAAACTTTACGCTTTGGTTGGTAAGGCCCCATTTCTTATCACTGTCTGCTTTTGTTCATCACTGAGTTTTGAGGGTCCATTCGCTGGGTCTTGAAGGTTTCAATTCAATTTTTCTTCTATTCTCTTCCTGCTTTGCTTAACTTTTGATATAACTCCAAGAACATCTGTTAAAAGTTCTTCAGGATAAACAATCTCTGAGGCTAATGTTGCAATTGTTGGGCAATGATGTTGCATTCTTGAGCATGGCTCACCAGTATTTTAACTTCTGTGATGCATGACATCCACAATTCTTTAGCATTCTGGCCTCCATCAGCATTAGAAGCAGGATCACTACTGTCATAATCACTGCTGTCATGGATAGTCTGGTATAAAGATATGAATTAACAAAAAATATTGAATATTGTCAACTTTGTGCTTTTGAGGTTTATTATCACATTCCAACAAAAAAACCAGTGATTAGAAATATTGTAAAACCTACATCTCTAAATGGTTTCGCACTTGAATCTTCACATGATTGTGTGCTGCTACATTCATCTGATTCATCTTCATTTCATTGCTGTCTGACATTTGGTAATTGCCAGCAAAACTATGTAACATGTCTTTGCAGGATTCCTAATTTTTCACAAAAAGCCAGAAACAGTAAATTTTTGCAAGCTTAAAATTGTATTGTTGGAAGTCTAAATGCATATACATTTGTAATTTTTCATTACACACTCTGAATACTGTGGCTAACTTTTCTGATGTATCCTCAAAATTGAGTGGGATATCACAAGATTCCTCTTCTTTTTGGGCAGATGCAATAGATGCTTTGACAATAGTGGATTCAGAAC